CTTCCTTCCTTCCTTCTTCCTTCTTCTTTCTTTCTCCTTCCTTCCTTCCTTCCTTCCTTTTCTTTCTTTTTCTGTCTCTCTTTCTTTCTTTCTTTTTTCTTTCCTCCTATAGTCCTTAGCTTAGGCCACAAAGGAGGTCAGATAGGTGACTTTGTAACAGCTATGTAACTGAATCATTCCAAAGGCTTTTATTTTAAGGTCTGAAAACACTTTTATCTGCAGTGCTAACATTGCAATGGCCAGTTCTTTTGTGAAGGACGTGATTACATCTAGTCTCCTCTTTTTTTTTTTTTTTTTTTTCCCACATACATCATCTAATGACATTTTCATGGTTAAAACTAAAACACCAGTTTCTTAAATTGAAAATGTTTCAATTATGTTGAGAATGCATTTTTAGCTGAAGACAAGAAATTGATTTATTTGCTATCTGAATTCATACATTTTCATTGGTCAACAAGGCTTCAAATAGCTTTGAGTTGTCGTCTTCAAATATCATAATTGCCATGCTCCTAAGTTGTGAAGGAAGTTGGCTAATGTGTTGAGATATGCAGACAGTTGGATAATTTTTTTCTTTAAAGTAAATTTAAAATTATCTTTTTTCTTATGACTCCCTTGTGAAAGGTAGTGTTGAAAATATATAAAGAGAATGAATTCTAAAGGATTGGATAGACCCTTAAGTTGGGAGAGCTAGAAGAGACACTCAGAGTTTCATTTTTCAAGCTCAATCCTTCCCCACTGCTAGCTTTACTCCCCCACAGTTTTCTTTAAGTAAGAACGTTTTCCCAGATAAGTGAAAGACTTCCCAAGGTCACATGACTCACTGGCAGGCAATCTCACATCTCATTTCTGATCCGTGTTTATTCGGCTAAAACTGCTTTTCAGTATGAAAAGTATTTTTAAAGTATTGAACGTACATTGAAATTAAACTCAAGTTGAAGGAAAGAGTTTGTGTTTAACTGGTTATATTATAAACTTCACATAGAAAACTTACATCAAAATGAATTTAAACATTTCTTAGGGAAATATAGTGCAAGATACACATGCTTGGGAGTCAGGTATATCTGGGTTTATATCTCAGCCCTGTGTTATAACCTTCAGAAAGTTATCTACCCCCTCTGAGGATAAGGTTCCCTATTTTACACTGTTGTGAAAATTAGTACTATATTTTAAATACCTAGTGCAGTACCTGGAATATAGTAGGCACTCAAAAAATAGTAGCTTTTATCAGGTAATATAAAACCCAACTTTTGTGTAAATGATTCTAAGGATTACATAATCTCAGAAGTACTGGGGAAAATGTGTACTGTGCAGGTGTCAGTGTAAAGAAAATAGACTGATAAAAGTGAGTCTGGGGAGCTAAATACTAGAAGCTCACAATGTTAGTTCCTGCTTCTCTGGACATGAGTCAGCTCAGATGTTGAAGGCATTTCAACTACAAGTGTAGTTCTTAGTTAGACCTGAGCAAGGTAGGGGAGAGTATCAGAACCAGCCACTCCAGCTGATGGGGCCAGGAACTATTCTTTGCATACTAGCCAACAGGCTCGGGAACTCCACCTGTATGGTTTTGCCACTGGTATTAGTCTGTTCTCATGCTGCTAATACAGACATACTCAAGACTGGGTAAATTATAAAGGGAAGAGGTTTAATGGAATCACAGTTTCACATGGCAGAGAAAGCTCATAATTATGGCAGAAGACAAAGGAAGAGCAACGGGATGTTTTACATGGTGGCAGGCAAAAGAGTATGTGCAGGAGAACTCTCCCTTTATAAAACCATCAGATCTCATAAGACTTACTCACTATCATGAGAACAGCATGGAAAAGACCTGCCTCCATGATTCAATTACCTCCCACCAGGCCCCTCCCATGACACATGGGAATTATTATAATTCAAGGTAAGATTTGGATGGGGACACAACCAAACCATATCACCACTTAAAAAAAACTTATTGGTTTGTCTAGCTTTGGTTCTGAACTTCTATGCTGGTGTCCTGATTCAGATGCTGGTTCCTCTAGGGAAGCCCAGGACACTTTGCTGAGACACTGAAATCTCACCAAGTCCTTAACACACATCTGTTTTAGAGATAGGCACTGTTACTTACAGCCTTTAACGCTGACTGCACTCCTGTTCCATGTGGATGTTTCATTTGTAACCAGAATGCTTCCACTGCCTGGACTTGCTGTTTCCTGCAGTAGGAGAGCACAGGATCAGAAAAAGATCAACCTCACCACATCCTTCTGAATATCATGACTGTACTGTGGGTTACTTCCACCAAGTGCTTATCTTCCATTTAGTTAATTTATCCACCTAGATTTTATTCCAATCCAGCTTATTTTCTGTCTCTCACTGATGAGCTTCCGTAGGTTCTTGTGCCAAGTTGTCTTGAGCTAAGAATTCTCTAGAAGATCTGCAGGTAAAAGAAAAGATGAATGTAGCTATCATTGTTGAAGCTAATCTGTGCAGGACATTAATATTGTCATATGACCTGCATTTCTTTTGAGCTACAACTCTTTGAAACTCTCTGTGTAAAGCCACAGCTAAGCTCCCAAAGACTTACTGTGGAGTTTCAGCACTACAACTCTTTCTTTCCTAAGAGATTTGGTGGATGAGGGGGTCATTTAAGTAATGCAAAGTCATTGCATTATTTGGAAATCTGCCCTTCTGTCTGATGTTCACCCATGTTTCTTGGACAAAGTTGAGGCACCCTTAACTTTCTTCTTTGTTACTCATTCCACTAAACAAACAGCTTTGCTGATAGGCTTGCAAATGTCTTAAGTAGCAGAAGATAAACTAATTAGAAGCTCCTTTAAGGAAACTTAACAGAATAGAAAATAAAAGCCAGGAGTTATGGCTCACACCTGTAATCCTAGCACTTTGGGAGGCTGAGGCAGATGGATCACCTGATGTCAGGAGTTCAAGATTAGCCTGGCCAACATGTTGAAACACCATTTCTACTAAAAATTACAAAAATTAGCTGGGCATGGTGGCAGATGCCTATAATCCCAGCTACTCAGGAGGCTGAAGCCGAAGAATCCTTTGAATCTGGGAGGCGGTGGTTACAGTGAGCTGAGATTTCGTCATTGTACTCCAGCCTGAGCAACAAAGAGAGACCCTGTTTCAAAAAAAAAAAAAAAAGTTATAATTTTAGCCTTTATTTATGCAAATGATGACAAAACCTGAAAGAGGTCTTTGGTGCAGTGGTTGGTGACTGAGGGGCTCTTGTGTGAGAATGAGTGGGACAGAGTGTCTTAGGTTGCTGTGTGCCAGTGCCCATATTTAATCAGTTCTCTTCTAGAGGAAGCAGCAATTGCTCTGGCCTCTGTGGAACATAAAAGCAGAAACTCTGATGGAGGCCCCGGAATGACAACCATGGACTGTAACTGTTAACTTCCACAGATCTACAGTTGCAATTTTTCCTCAATAAGGGCTCCTGACTTTGGCTCATTTCAGATTATTTTCTATTATTTCAAAATCAGAAAATAAACTTGGTAGTCTAATATGTTTTTACAATTAGGTAAATATAAAGATTACATTATAGACCCAACATGGATAAAATGCATGCTTTTTATTGCTTTTCTAGGAGTCGGGATGGATTTCTGCCCAAAAATTCTTATTATTGCCCTGAGTTCCCATTACAACTAATGACACGGATTGACAGGAGCCAGGAGTATCATCTGCAATCGTGAACCAGAAGAAATTTTATGGGTTAAAAAGCCAGAAGTGCACAAATGGGACCTAGATTACTACAGAGCCATTTGTATTTCTTAAGATTCTCTTGGTCACATGCAACAAAAATAACCCTGAGAAGCATAGGCACACTAAAAAATATATTATTGTAGTCATAATGTGGTAGCTTACGTAAATGAGGGAAGAAATGAATAACTGAGCCTCATGAGGAGAAGGAATAAGGACAGCATAGACACCTCCTCAGGAGACGTTTTGGACCTTTTCAGGGGCAGGTAACAACACATCAGCTTTAATTGTTCCCAGTTTCCAAATATCCATATTCCAAATTTCAAAATCCCATGGGGTCTTTCTGGGTCCAGCATCTATCCTTGGATTACACTTTCATTGTCAGTGGGTAGGGTCACACAGAAAGGACGAGGTTTCCGGAGCATAATCCTGTGACCTACAGGTCCATCTCAGAGTATTTGTTTTGAGCTAGGCAGCCACCACCAAAATTATCTGCTCTACACCTCATATTCCAACATTAATTCTCACAATTAAAAAATTCCCAAGTACAGGCTGCATGGAAAATAAAAATGAACTACACACACACACACACACACACACACACCCCCTGAGTATGAAAAAAAAATAATTTGATGCTTATAGCAAAGATGCTTAAGGCTTTTGTTTTGTTTTTTGCTGAAAAGCAAATTTATTTTTCAGCTTATAAAATGTTGGTTATGGGTTGGATTGGGTCTCTCCAGAATTTATATGCTGAAATCTTAACCTCCTGTACCTCAGGATGTGACCAGGTTCTGTGCAGAGGTAATCAATTTAAAATGAGTAATTTGGCTTGGTCCCAATACAATATGACTGGTATCCTTATTAGAAGGGGAAATCTGGAGATAGACAACAGATATAGCACACAGAGGAATGCTATGGGAAGATGAAGGCAGAGATCTAGTGCTGCATTTATAAGCCAGGAACACTCAAGATTGTCAGCAAACCATTGGACAGTAAATGAGAGACATGGAACAGATTCTTTTTCACAGAAGGAACCAACCCTCTAGGCACCTTGATCTCAGATTTCTAGTAACTAGAACTGTAAGGCTACAAATTGTTTTTAAAACACTCACTTGATAATACTTTGTTACATCAGCCTTAGAAAACTATTAGAATGTTATGGTCAAAATGTGAAAGGGTATTGGTTATACATTTTAAAGTAATTTAATGAGAATTTAAGATTTCAGAGAAAAAGACACTTTCATAAAAACATTTTTATATTAAATTGTTGGATTACTTTTTCACTGACATTAACTTTCACCTTCATTCCTGTAGTATGACATGTGACTAGTTAAATTCTTGGATGTATCACAGACCAAAAAAGATTGGTTAAATAAGCTGTGAAGTAAATGGGCTAACAGTCACATATAGAGATGTGGCCTAATATTCTTATGTTCTTAGGGAAATCTTCTGATGTTAAGAAATCCTTCCTCAATTTTGCAATAATTAGGATTTAAGCTAAACAGTCAGTGGAAAGTTATAAAGTAATAGATTTCATAGCATTTTTAGGTCAACAGTGGACTTTTTTCTTGGCAATGACTAACATTAGCCCAGCCATCTGTCCTTTTTACCAGTGAGCCCATACATGTCAAAGATTCCAGCTGAGAAAAGCTTGACTGTTTCTTTTCTCCTGCAAAATATAATGATTCCTAGTAATTTATAAATGTTTGGCATAGCAAAAAATCATGCAGATATCACAATGAGTTGTGTCGAAGCTGCTAAACCTCAAATTCCCTGGCAAACACCATAGTTCAAAAAAAATGTAGTTCTGCCACTTAAAAAAATAACTCCCACAGGTATTTGGTGAGAAGGATAATGATGAACTAAATCTAAAATCTTTGTAACTCAGTACCAGTGAGTTCCTGACGCTATTCAGCGTGTTACTGTAGAAAGATTTGTGATTATCTATTTTATATATTTAATGTTTATCTCCCCAGTAGATTGTAAACTCCATGAGAACCAGAACTACATTTGTCCTGGTCAACATTATGACCTATAAATCTAGCATGGTACAGGAATTTTAATTAATATTTGTTGAATAAAAGGATGATTAAGTATAAAAAATCAGTGATTAATGAAAGGTCTGGCAAAATATTACCAGTTTGATACAGAATTCAGACAACTTAGTACTTACAGGGATCTGTTTCTTTCTTTAATGATATTTAACCTAATACATACTTCCTGTGTATGTTTCCCAACCTAGATATATCATATCTTTTCTTTTAAATCTTTAGTAGTTCTTCAAGTCCTATAATACCAAGTTCAAAATCTATAGCAGAACAATTCTCTTCACAGTCTAAAGTTACTCAACATTCCTAGCCTTATTTCTTTCCATTTCCCCAGTTTTTACTTTCCCTTACCTTTCTCTTCCAACGTGTTCTTTACGGTCTAGCCACAGAGCTACACTCAAGCCCATATGTTCCATGTACTTTCAGAGCTACATGGTGGCATTCTTGCATAGAATAGCTGCCTCTTTTACCCCTCTCGGTTGAAATCCTATTAATCTTGCAAGACCTACCTCACTGACTTAGTGAAAACTTCCATAAATTCACCTTTCTTTTTGTGCAAATTCAATCACTATCTCTTCAGTTCCCCCCCCAAAAAAAAAAAAAAAAAGCAAGTAGTTTTGCCCTGATTGTCTGTATATTTCTACTGTTTGAGAATCACTTCAGGAAATGCATTTGTCCCTCCATCCAAAGAACATAGCTCAGTGTGTAGAGCATAGTAGGTACTTAATTCAGGTCAGATGAATCCTTATTTTTTTTCCTCTCAGAATTCTTATTTTAGAATTCACCCTTTCAAAAAAATATGTTGATACCTGGCTCCACTCCTACATATGTACTTAAACCCACCCTCCAGACGTGGCTTGCTCATTTGGCCAGAGCAGACCTAATGTTTTACAGAAGAGTGCATGACTCAGACTATTGAATCTTCAAATCTACTTCTCAGTTAGTTTTAAACTAAAGAAATGTACCCCAAGTGGCTCAGAACAGCCTGGTATAGATGGCACATCTCAATGCTGTGGGACTATTCAAATTTTACATTTATTTCTTTCTATTTTTATAAAATAATCAAGCTAGTGAAATAATACAGCTTCTTGTTCCTATTATACCCTTAGTTTAATTGACTTAGATTCTCTAGAGTCAATTAAAACTGAATATGTTATTCCACCCAGTCATGGGAAATGAATGCAGTTCTCTATTTTCTTTGTAGTTTTATATAATCTTCTGTAGGGAAGTGCTTAAAGCATGTATATCTACAAACAGAGTCAGTTTTGAAAAGAATGTGGCTGAAGTTGAAAGGTGGGACTTTTCTGGATCAGTTGAGCGACTGCCTTGCTAGTGGCACTGGAAAGCTCCCAACTTGTTCTCAACAGGCTAGCTAGGAATGAACTCAGCAAACCCTTTTGGAATCATGGACCCTCCACCCCTTGATCTGGTAGGTGCCCGGAGAGGTGCACAATCAATGAAAAGCATACAGATGGTGAGCGGAATTTATCTAGTACCTCGTAGCCAAGTTTTCGTGTAGATTGCATGATTTGGAGTTACTGATCAGGGACAATATCTTCTATACCTTGAATAAACTCTTAATTGGAAAAATCCTATTTTTAGAACATCCTAACATAAGCAAGGTTGTTATAGGAGAGTGGGAAAAATTCAACAGTATGGCCAGCTATTAGAGCAACAGAACTATTTATGTCTTTGGTGAAACAAGTCCTTCCTCACTGAGCATCCAGGGCAACACAACACAATTTCTGGTTTTGACAAACTGTATGTTTATAATGTGTAGGGAAAATTTTCTATTTTCTTGTCAAATATTAGGTAATGCTTAAATTATAATAAGAATATTTAGCATTCATATGTTGCAATGCAGTTTACC